ATCAACTCAGCCCGTGTTTGAAATACCAGATGTTCTGTACCTTTTTTTTCTCTCTTTTTCTTTAAAGTATCTGGCATGCAATACCCTCTTCTAGGTCAGGAAGTTCACCTGAAATGTTGCCAACCTATCTGGTTGCTTGAAATTATGAAAATGGAGAAATTGATTCCATTCCCATTTCTTGCTCTAAAATAAGCTCGGGCACAGAGGGTTTTTGGAAGCATAGATCATGGGAATATTAATTCAGTTTCTAGGGCCTACAGTTAGGGATACTTTAAATGTCCTGTTTGTTGATGAATAGTATTTCAAGATAAATATTAGGGAGTCATTTTTATTTTTTCAGAGGGCCTTGATAGGTATTCACAACCCTGACTGTGGTTTCTCCGAATATAGTCAATCCAAAGGACCTGTTTTCTTGGATACTGAAGAAGAAAAATTAGTCTGTCATATCCTTGTATTGATGCTGGCCAGAATATGTTACTAACATTACATGAGGTAGACAGCTTTGGGACTTGTGCGTTTATGAAAAACATGTGTGTTTAGGCACCAAGTGTTGACTCTGCAGGGAATATCATCTCATATTTTCTGGTTAAATGATTATATGCAACAGAGCTGAATTGTATCACTCACAACTTAAGTTTTTTTAATTTCATATGTGGCTTCTATAGATTGCTCCTTCAAACTGAATTTCAGATGATCCTGACTTAGAAGAATATATTAACTTTCTCAAATAATCATTTTCTACCAAATGATTAAACTTTGACCAAGCTGAATGACAAACTTAAATAAAGTTTATGGTATATATGATTTGCAATCATAATTGTAGAATTTAAAAAATTTTTGGAGGCAATCTAATTTATTTTCTTCGTTATCTAAATAAAGCCCAGAAAAGAAAAATGACTTCTAAAATCGCTGAACTTGGCCATGACACTCTGGGATCAGCTCAGTTTCCCTGCCTCTCTTTTAATGTTCATCCCACATTTTCAGTTCTGTTTTGTTAGTTCTCTAGTATTTATAACCATGTAAGTTTTAATCATCTCTTTAATACCCAATGTAGCTAGTTTTCACAACATAGCTGTTACACACAAACAAGCATGTCTGATATGTTAGTCCAGTTATCTGGATTTCTCTTTCTTTGCCCCAGCTAAGGAAGAGCTAATACTCTTGTTTCCTCTTGCTCTCCTCTATCCTCTCCCACATATCCCTACACAAATAGGACCTCCTCTATTCTTTTTCCTTACTGAAATTCTGGAGTGCAGATAACTGGGCTGAAACTAAACTGTAAGATTTGGATGTCTACGAATAAGAACCATGGCCCTTGAGGAAAGAACACCCACCAGGTGTGAGGGTAGAAAAAGGAGGAGGAGGTGTGAGAATTCTGGATCCTGGGCTTCAGGGAATCCTGAACAAAAAGCCAAGGAGAGAGAAATTGGTGGAGCCCTTAGGACAGATGGAATTCCAGATCCTTGAGCTGAACTAGCTTTGGGGCACCCCAGGTCTTGTGACTTTTCCCTGAAAAGGTCTAGGAGTAGGCCTTGAGAAGCTGCCTACTAACTCATTTTATTATAGAGTGGATTTAATATGTTTTCCTCCATCTGATACACATTTGACTTGTCAGGGGGAGAGGAGCAGCAGACTCAGTTTGGATGGGAATAACACAGAAGAATTTTTCTGCACACTTGCACGTATGGCTGCTACTGGGCAACATTTTGATACACATTGGATTTAACAACTGCATTTAGATTGTAACAGCCCAGAAGCAGGCACATCCACTGAACAGGAAATAGCATGTGAATTAGGCTTTTTGTTGGAGATGCATTGTGTGTTGTTGTTGTTGTTGTTGTTCTAACAGGTTGACAAAGAGATTGGAATATGGAAGAAGTTTTTTTATCCAATAATGTGGCATACGATAGGATGTCTTTGTGTGTTTGTTTTCCATTAGTTCTGCTTCCCTTTGGCTGTAGCAGGAAGGAGGCTTATTATTGTTATGACTTCTTCCTATTCTCTTTAATCTCTACCTGGGATATTTTCAAGGTCCCCTTATTCCTTTCTTCTGAACATATTGGGGAAGATGGAATTGTGTGTTTTTAGAAAGATAGAGAGGATCACTTTCTCCAGAGAGTCAGAGCCAGGCTAGAGAGATCTGATGTGGAGATCGATTGAACCTTCAAGCAGGGCAGAGTGGAAGAACCCTGGGGCAGTGCTTTTTGAGCTTTCAAGGCCACCTGCAGAGCCATTTTCTCTGATTACTGTTTTTCCTCCGGGGAAACCCCCACCCCCCAGCCCCCAGTGTTAGGCTCCCAGAGTTTGGGAAGTCTGCTTTCCACCCTTCCCTGTGTTGTCTCCACACCGTGGTGTAGCTTGAGGCTAGTCTCTGGGGCTTCCTTATCTGTCTTCTACTTTTTTCCTTGGGGGTGAAGGGGGATGACAAAACACCCTGCTTGCTGTAAAGGCGGTGCTGTGCTTCCCTTAGCCTCTCTCCCTTCCCCCTTCTGCCTCCTACCTTTGGATTTTGCCCTTGGTATTCCTTCCGCCTGGAATGTACTTTCTTTTCCTCTTGGCTGCTAGATAATGCCCATCCTTTCAATCTCAATTCAAGCATCCCTGTTTATTTAAGCTTTCCCAGCCTCCTTAACCTCTACATGTCTTCCTGGACCAAGCTTTTAGGAAGGCATCTACATTTAAAGCCAGACACCAAATTTTAGGTTATGTTTGCTCTTGACTAGCATGGCCAGGAGCAAATCACCTCCCCGTCTGGATTTTAGTCTCCTGATCTCTCACATGAAGGGGCTGTCTAGTACTGTCCAGAGGAAGAATATGTGGAACAGTTTAGAAGGATGTATATTCATGAAATACCAGTTCTGGTAATTTTAATAAACCACTAACTATTGTAAGGATACAGCAAAGCGAATAGGAATCAAACAACTTGGCCCTTGGCAAGGCTGACTTCATCAGCCAGCAGTGAGTTACACTAGGGCCTTAGTATAAGAATTCTGCTGACTCACTCAGGGTTATAAGCTGAACTTTAAGGATGCATCAGAAATAGAGAAAACATGTTGTTGTTCCAGTGTGTTTGTGGTATTTTATTAAACCCAGTGTTGTTCACAACAGGTAACTCAGACAAGGCAGGCAAGAAGTTGTATAGGTAGTCATTTTATTTAGAGAAAAAAAAAAACTTAGTTCTTACATAACCCACTAAATCTCAGGATTTTACACATATATAACTATGTATGTGTATATATAAGTTCTATGTCATGACATAAAATTATTCCTTATTGTGAAGTTCATGTAAGAGTTTAAAAGCCACTGATTTAAACTAAGCTATGTGCCTATGTGATTAAGTCTCAATCAAGTAATCTGAATTTTCATTTGGGATTAGAATTTAGCAGGAGATGCACGGAACAGAGAGTGAAACAAATCCATACACCAGGCAAATTAAGGATTGTTAACTTTCCTATAATGGAAAACTAGAATGAGATGAAAAAACATACCCTTTCACCTTTGTTCTTCATTTTACTATGAATATCATAATGAGAAAACTCAGTTATACTTCTTATAAAAGAACAGAAAACTCAACCAGTCTTCCTCTGTCTTTTATTTAACTCACTGTATACTATGAATGGTAATCGTCAGTGACAAGAAACATTTTGATTCTGGGGTAAAAGTTTAGTGCTGAAGTTCAGCTCTTTTGAAAATTGGTAATACAGACTTAGAAAGGTGAGGAAGTTTGGTTAATGCTGGACTGATTCTTATACATTAGAGAGGATGCTTGTGATTGTCTGATGTAAAATTAGTGTAAATTCTCCTAGACAACCTGATTGACCAGCTTGTTTGGAATATGCCGTTACAGTAGAAGGATGTGGTCATTTTCGTCAAATAAAATCCAAGGGCTTCATTTAAACTTCAAGGCTGACCTTTCAAGGAGCAAGTTACAATATGGTTTTGGTTGCATAGTGATAAACACAACTTAGTAAGATTACAGGAGTCCATTGAAAAAGATTTGGCCAGCCTGAACTACTACTCTAGTGGTAATTAATTTGTCACAGCCACTAATGTGACATTTAAAATTATAAATAATATGGTCACTGGTGATTTGCTGATGTTCTAATACAATGCCAGTTAATCTTTTTCACTCTTAAGTGGAGTTTACATTGCCCATGTATGTCCTTTCTCAATCTGTACTCCTACCCCATCTTCCTATTAGGTCATGCCTCAGAAAATTACCAAGGATACTAGTTTAGTATGGTCAAGGAAAAAGAACAGTTTACCATAATAAGGGTAACAGTACAGCCTTCCCACCCCTTCCCTAGGGTGAGAGCACAGATCTTGTAGTCAGAAAGTCCTGGATTTATCTCTTCTCTACCACTTACTCACATTTTGATCTTAAGTAAGGTCTTTCATCTCTCTGGGTTTCAATTAAGTCATCTCTAACAGAGAGAATACCATTTCCTATGTTATAAGCATTTTATGAGTTTTATACTGTTCTAATGAGGGAATAAGTGATGTGCTATTTCTAGTATTCAGTAAATGTTTGTGGTTGCTATCATTTAATCATAATGGAAAATTATTATTTACATTTTAATTCCTAAAACCTTTCATACATTTCCTTGTTTGCTGCAGAATCTGTCATTTAGGGCCAGGCTTGCTTTCCAAGCTCTGTTCTTTGAGTGTTCTCTATGTTTATAATACCCAGGCCATGTAGTGGTCAAAGACAAATTCGTGACTTTCGGTGATATTCAGTATTTGTAGTTTACCCCACAGTTATTTCTTGATGCTTTTCTTTTCATGATAAAAAGCAATAAGAACATAAAGTATGTTGTGTATGTACTTGGAGCTGCCATTTACTACTTGGGTGTCATCATTGGCTAAACAATGTACTACTCATAAAAGATTTGTTTGAAAGTTACATGAACAGGAACGGTAAGTGGAATTAAAGGAGCGATTTATTGAATTTTTTAGATTTCTAAAAATGTAATAATAGATTTATGTTTTCTCTTTAACAGATGGGCTTAGGTCATGAGCAAGGTTTTGGAGCTCCCTGTTTAAAATGCAAAGAAAAATGTGAAGGATTTGAACTGCACTTCTGGAGGTAATGTTTTGAAAACTACCTTAGTAATTTACACTGTTTGGCAGTACTTCCTCGGATGATAGCACAATCTCTTACAAGTTCTCAGGCATAGTTGCGAAGTTGTAGATCTGTTATTTTTTAAAAAATAAAGCTATCTGTCTTCCTGTCATTAAGTTCAGCTGAGTGAATGAGCCCATTACAACTATATTTAGAATTGTTTGATTTATTTGCTATCTTTTGCCTTTCCTGTAAACCTCAAACATTGACTATGCCTTTTCTGAGTGGCAAAAAAGTTTGTGGAAATCCTCCAGAATGGTTTATTAATTTAATTATTTTTAACAATTGTTAACTCTTTATATCTTATATTTGTATTTGTAAGAAATGATAAATATGAATGCTGAATTGAGCATTCATATAGTAGTTATCAGGAAATAAAATTTTGGGATATGTTCAAAATTTCAAGAAGTAAATTTATTACTGAAAAACCTTCAAGTACTTGAATTGTTTTGTTAAAAAAATTTATTGCCAGTGTCTTGGTTTCAGTGAAGTGCATGTACCTGTAGATTAAAAAATGTGAATTTTATATAGCTCTTATTTGTATGTTTTTTATGCATCTAAAACCAGTATTTGAAATTTGTTCTTATGAAGACATAAATAAAGCATCAGTAGCTGTATAGGCCATCATGGTAGTTCACATGCCTGCTCAGAGTTAGAAACAGAATATTATTGTTAGTAGGAAAAAGATCAATGATATATTAGAATAGCAGTTATTTTTAACAGTGAACTTCATTTGACAACTACATCTTTTCTACAGATTTCTGCAGAAAACTCTAGAATACATACACAGTTTCATCAGCATTGTAGTTTGGTACAGTATAAGTTAGAGAAGGATATAAGAGAATGGATATTAGACTCCTTTAAAAGCTAACCTATTTAACAAGTTTCAAAAAATAAAAAAAACAGATTTGGGGATATAGTGGCAGAGTGCTTGCCTAGCCTGTATAAGCCCTGCATTCAAACCTTGATATTGTCAAAAAAGAAAAGAAAAACAAAAAAAATAAGGACAAGTGTTATAAGATTGAAGGCAGCAGAAACCTCAGTCCTCCAAGAAATTGTACAGTTCTTTATTTTTAGAGAACTAGAATTTTCCATGGAGTTTCTTCTTTTCTTTTTTTTAATTACAGGCAAAAATACCTCTTAATGTGCTGCCTTTTCAGGAACATAGCAGTTAGGCAAAGTGCTTGTCATTTCTGAAAAGATAATGTCACTAAACACAAAATATTCCTCATGGATTGGAATACAGTTGTCTCTTAGTGTCCAATGCCTGCAGATCCCCCAAATCCTTAGTTGCTTAAATCTCTTACATAAAATGGTATAGCATTTGTGTACAACCTACACACCCAGGTACTTCTTTAGGTTACTCACAATAATACAATATAAATAGTTGTCATACTTGTTTAGGGAAGAATGACAATTTTTTTAAATTCCATGCATGGTTAGTACATAGGCCATCCTTTTTTCTGAATATTTTCCATTTGCTGTTAACTGACTCCATGGAGTGGAACCCACCATACAAAGGCTGACTGTATTTCAAGTCTTACTGCACGCACCACTCTCGGGTGACTCCTTTGACTTTGCAGAGGGCTGCAATGCCCTCTGCTGGGCATAGCTTTTAACTTTACAATCTTAAAATCTTTTTAGTTCAACTGTGAAATTTTGGAAAACAGCTAATGAGGTTTTACACGTTCATACCTAAGAAATAATCACTTTTCTCTAAAGTAGAAAGTTTGTTTATAGTATTTTGTTTGATCTGTATTATTTTTTCTATTGCAGGTCACTACAATCAGATTATTTTCAGATCAAATAAAAAGGCAAGAGAGGATCTTCATGGCATGAAAATCACCCTTTTATTTCAGTTTTATCACATAGACTCACCTAATGTAAACTGGGTATAGTCTGAGAGTCCAGTAGCCGTAAAACACTAGGCCTTTGGCCTCCATCCTAGCTTGTGTTGATGGAGTTTGTCCAGATGGTATTTCTTAGTAGTTCTGTAATCTTCCTGACGTGAGTCCAGATACATTTCTCTTGGTTATGAACCTTGATCAGTCCCTGACTTTTTAGCCATAACTGGAAGAACAGAGGCAGATACCTTTGAACTCCAGATGCAGCAATATAGTCCTTAAAGTACAATATTCTATCCTAACTAAAAACAAGGCTGCAGCACCAGCCTAAGACCACAGAGCTGGTATGGTTAAGGTGGACCTGACGTCCCTCCCCATGCACCCTCCTCTTCCATCCTCATGCTTTGTTATCCTTGACTCCTTCCCGTGCTTCACAGGCACATTTAGAAAGTCGGAGTTAAATTATTCTCCACTCCTTTGCCACTCACCCTTCCGTATAACTATGACAATATAATGTTGAAAGTAGGTACTAAAATATACTCCGTTATAGCTTAAGAGTTCTCTGTTCACCCCTTTGCACAGGAAATAATACCAAGAACCAACAGATGGGATCATATCAAATTTAAAAGCTTATGCACAGCAAAAGAAACAACCAATAGAGTACACAACCTACAGAGTAGGGAATCAAATTTAGCCAGCTATTCCTCAGAAGACTAATTTCTAGAATACATAGTTGTTGATGAGAATGTAGACTAGTACAACCACTATGGAAATCAGTGTGGAGATTCCTCAGAAAACTAAAAGTAGAAATTCCATTTGACTCACCTTTTCCCCTTTTAGTTATCTTCCCAAAAGAATTAAAGACATCATATTACAGTGACACATGCATACCCATGTTTATAGTAGCACAATTCATAATAAAATCACAAAATCTTGGAAGTAGCCTCTATGTCCCTCAGTAGATAAAGAAATTGTGGCATTTACATCCAGTGCAGTACTACTCTTCCATAAAGAAGGAAAAACTTGAGTCATTTTTAGGACAGTGGTTGCACCTTGAGACTATAATGTTAGGTGAAATAAATGAGATGCAAAAGCTTCAGTATCACATGGTTTCTCTTGTGTGAAAAACCCAAAATATAAAGAGCAAAATAAAAATTAGATAATAGGAAATAGGGAGATCTTTTTCAGATGTGAAGGAGATTATGAGATGGAGGGAGGAGAGTGGAAGGGGATGACAAAAGAACTGGAATAGTTAGGTACGTGGAGCAACTCCCCATAAGGAATGTAATAGTATGTACCACAAACATGTACTTATAAAAAAAATTTTAAAAGTCCAGTAGGTCAAACAATAAAGAAGATGGTTTATTCTACATTTCACAAAATGTGCTCCGGTAACCCTGATCCTGAAAGATGGCTCATGTAAAACAGGTTCCCAGTGGAATTTGTTTGTTCAGTTCTGGATACGATAGCCTTTTGGAGATTAGCCTGATAAAGACTGTAAGAAGTCCTGCAGTTAAAACATCTATTATGTAGTATGACACTTCTAAATATTTTTTCTGTAGAACATAGGTTTGAGAACTTGGATTAAGATATTATCTTACCTGAATGAAGGGAATAAGGCTAAAAATATCTTTCAGGAAAAACAAAACCTCTCCGTTCCACTGGACTTCATCCATCAGACAGTCTTTGTCCTTTGATGGTAGACTTGAAGCATCTGGCCTCTGTTTGCTTTTCCAGCCAGCCACAGTGTTCTCCACTTGCTTGATCTGTGGCATTCCCTGAAATTTCTGAGCCTTGCTTCATGTGTCTTTTACTTGGAAAGACTTTTCCTTGCAAGAAACAAAAGATCCAAGCTCTTGTGGTACCTCTGGGGAATCTCCCTTGCCTGCTTTGTTAGTCTGCTTGGCCTGCCATAACAAAATACCATAGAGTTGGTGGCTCAAAAGCACGATTTTATTTCCTCTGAACTTTGAAGACTGGAAGGTCCAAAATGGTTTGGTTCTGGTGAGAATTCTCTTTCTGAGATGTAGACAGCTACCTCTCACTGTGTACTTACAGGGCTTTTGTAATTTAGCTAGACAAACTACATTTTTGGAGATTAATAAACTGAAACCCAAACAAGTTAAAATGATTTGTTTGTACCCATTTAAGGAGAAATATAATTTATGACCAATTCCTGTGCATCACATAGCAGTAAGCATTTGTAGTAGTTTTCTACTGCTGCATTACAAATTATTCCAAACTTAGCAGATTAAAACAACATCTATTTTTTTTTTTTTTTTTGGCACTGGGGGTCGAACTCGGATCCTTGCCGCTTGCACAGCAGGCGGTGAAACCACTGAGCTAAATCCCTGGCTAAAACAACATCTATTAATTGACTCAATATTCATTTACCCTTTATCTTAGAAATTTTGAGAGAGGGGAGGAAATTCTTACCTGGATTCTCTCCTTAGAATCTCAAAAGGCTCAAGTCAAAGTTTTGGCCAAGTTAGGCTTTTATCTAAATGCTTGGAGGAAGAATGTGCTTCCAAGATTATTCCTGTAGTTACCAGAATTTGACTTTTGTGCTTTGAGGACTGAGACCCCAGTTTTCTCCTTGACTAACAGTTGAGAGTTGCCCTCAGCTTCTAGAATCCACTCGGATCCCTTATGTAGAGCCCCTTCCATCTCCAAAGCCAACAATAGGGTTTAGAGTCTTTGTGTACTACTTGCTCTGGGTTTTGCTGCTGCCAGCTAGAGAAAATTCATTCCTTCTTAAGGGCTTGAGTGATTATATTGAGCACATCTGGATAATCTCCCATTCCCCATGTAAAGTAACATGGAAGTAATACCGTGGGCAGAGGTCTTAGGGGACATCACAAAATTCTGCTGACCACAGCATTTTATGTACCTGACTGTCCCTAATCCCCCTCATACCAATTTAGTAAGATGAAAGGCCTGAATTTGAATCCAAAGCTTGATAAAACCTTCTAATCACCACCCTCTTCCATGGCAGATTAGAAACTAGAAAGCATATTTTCACGTTCACGGCCAATGAACCTTGAAATGCACCAGACTGTCTTTCCTGAAGTGTGATTTTTGTGACAGAGGCATCCTTGTGAACAAAGGGGTCCTTAACTGTGAGCTCTCCCCTTCTTCAGTATGCCAGGGAATTGCAAAAGGAAAACAAAAGGTTGAGGAAGCCTCGTTCCTGCCCAGTAAGAACTGCTGTCTATTGGACATTCTTTCAAATAAAATGTGGAGATAAAGATTTATGAAATATCTAACACAAACTCCACATTTCAAAGAACTTATAGCCAGTTGTTTCATTAGTAATATCATTACAATCATAGAACATTTATTTAAGCAATACATTTGCTGTTTTGTCTTACCTGTGTTGGATCCTTCCAATAAACTTGGATTTTACAAAGACAAAAATATTACTTGATTATAACATATATCTCTTCAAACTTTCCTCTCAGTTTAGAGTGGCTAAAAATGAACAATTCTGCACCATAAATGGATGAATGCTTGTGTTGAATTCTATAACAGAGGCCCACACTTGAGTCCATATATGTATATCCCTGTTATAAAGGGGCAGCTTCCAGCCTTTTTAAATTATGTTTTGTAGCAGTGCCATGACCTTGCCTTTAAATCACTGTGAATGCTGGCAGCATGTCAAGGCACTCTGGTTTCTGCTACTTGCAGTGAAAAATAATACTTTTTATGAATAGTGATATAAAAAACACTTCCCTTTTGGGAAGCTGAAGGATAGATCTTGACTGCTTTCAGCTTGAAACTTCTCTTGTTTTTCTGTGGCAATACTTTTGGTAGTTTGGTTCTCTCTCCCTTGGATTTAACTGTTTTGAGTGTAGAGTTTTGGCTTGTCATGCATAATAATGTTTGCATATGTATGTGTATTAGATGCTAAATTATTTTTGTACAAATTACTACACCCACACCTCAGAGCGCCCGTGTACCTCTACATCTTTTTTAAAAAGTCAAAAAAGACTGTTTTAAACTAACTTAATTCTGAATCCCTTCACCTGCCTTTTCCCCCTCATATACTATAGTCTAAAACCACAAGAAAGGGTTTTTCTTCTTTTAAACTATATAAGTGGTAATATCCTAGGTTTCTCTCTCATGTAGTGGTTTGGGGCTCTTTTCATTGTAGAAGGGGAGGCACAGTGCAGGGAGCTGGGAGAGATGTGACCCTTCCAGCTCCTTCAGTGATGCCAGTTCCAGCTGGAAGGACTGTCCCACCCCTTGGGAGCCACAGTCTCACCAAACACTTGGATACCAGGATCCCCAACTCAGGGACTCGGTTGAGGACATATGGTTACACTATAGTCTGGATTTAAAATGGACAGTGAGACAATCCCAGATTCTCCCTGCTTAGAAAATTGATAATTAGGCATAGTATGACTTTTTAAGCTACTTCTTTTTCCCTTATCACTGCTGCTGTTGGTATGTTATTTAACCTGATTTTATTTGCTTAATAAAGGTATGCTTGGTGGATGAAGGGGTGGAAAGCAAAACAGGCTTCCTCAGAATGTGAGTCCTTCCAGGAGTGGGCAAGACAAATAAAACAATTTTAGAGATGGGTATGAGATCATTGGTAAATATAAGCCTTCACATGTAGCACTTTCACAGTAAATGTAATTTAACCATGCTACAGCTTGTAATAGCTCGTGCTCAGAAACCAGCGGCTTTGTTTTGCTTACTGTGTCTTTTACTGTTCATTTTTAAAATTCTAAAACCCAGCTCCTTATTTTGTATCACACATGTTGTATTTGTCCATCTAATTGTATGAAGTAGATCATGAACATGTCCCAAGTCCAGTATTCATCACATATCCTTGATCCTTTAGGAATCACTTTGCTTATTATTAGGATGCAGGCCATAGTCCACAGCCACATAAAGAACGATTTACTATATTAAGAACTAAGTTCCCACATCACCTCTTTCCTTCTCAAGAATAATTTTAAATGTGATTCAAAAGCATTGTGACAGTTTTATAAATATTTTCATTGTTTTTGGTAACTGAGGAACGATAATGAAGATCATACTGTTGTAGGATAATATGCTCCTTTCCGCTAGATGGGAGTATGAGATAACCAGATGTAAGAAATCTTTTATAGCTGTACTAAAATATGCTAACTAAACAAAATTTTACCAAATAAAGATTCTTGACCCATGTGTGCACAAGGAAAGGAATTTGCCTTTCTACCCTCATGTTTATCTGTCTACTTATACCTCCCACTACCCCTTCTGTCTCTTACCCCCTCCCTCTCCTCCCTCTCCATAAGTCAGATCTAATATTTGAGTTCATACATTGAAAAGAGTTTTAAGAAAGCTCGAGGCACAAGAATGTATAATTTGTTGATTTATTACTTGACAGATTTGCTTAAGTTTTTAGATGTTTTTAATGTTAGGGTGACTGAGTTGCCCAGGCTGGCCTCCTGCCTCAGCCTTCTGAGTCTTGGGGTCTATAGGCCTGCACCACTACACCAGGTTAAATCTTAATGCTAATACATCGCACTTCTGTATGATCAACATAGCATCTGTGAGAAACAGTTTAGTTTCTTCCTTTCTGATGAATCCTTATAATTCCTATTTCTTAATTTTTCTCACTGCTCTGAACAGTACCTTCAGGATGATATGAGTGGAATTGGATATGTCATTACTTTCTTGTTTCCAGTCTTGAAATTAATGCACTAAGTTTAATGTGTGCCTAGTATTTGATTTTTGTTTTGTTTTTTCCAGAAACTCTGGAATCCTACTAGTTCTTTCAATGAAATTACTAAACAAACCGTGTTACCATGAGAGATGTTGAAATGTCCCATTTCTGCATGTAATGAGTAGCAAACATTCACTTTATTAGTTTCTGCTCTTAATCTTATTTTCCTTCCTTGTATTTTAGGGTATTTCTACCTTTTTCCTAATTTCCTGAGTTGAGTACTTTTCTTAATAATTTTTATTTCCTTCTCTCCACTTTGATCATTTAGGTATAAAGTTCTTTTGTTAGTTACCTAGGTATTTTAGCTTAACCTAACATCTGATCTTAGTTTACACCATTAGTCTCTTCTTGAGCAATTTAAGATCTTTAAAACACTCATATCTGTTGTCCTGTGTTTCAGACCCAGCTTAAATTTCTGACACCACAGTTTTTCTGCTTTTCTCTCTTGCTCTGTCAACTTTCCCAGCCTTTGGTAGATATTGCATGAGTCCTCACTTTTTCCCTCTACCCTTTCTGTAGGAGGTGAGGGTGGTCCTTTCATCTCGCATACAATATATGTTGTACCCTGAGTCCCAAATATATATTTTTCTACCAGGCTAGTTTTTAACACTAGGCTTTTATATCGTACTATCTACTTGATATTTTTACCTGGACTCACAGGCATTTCACACTTGTCAGTACTTTAAAGACTTTTCATCAGCCTTCCCTGTCTTTTTATCTCAGCTCTCTCTTTTGTATTAATTATCTTAATGAATTAAACATTCCTCCTACCAACTTACTTCCTAATCCCCAAAACTTGTGTTCATTTTTTTGAGAACCCAACATTGCATCCAAAGTTTAGTAATTTTTATACTCAAGGATAGCTGAAATCTCTTTTCATCACTACAGATAACACCCTAGTCCAAGCTATAACACATCTCACCTAGACCACAACAACGACCATCTAACATGGAAATTCCATTTATGAAATATCCAGTGTCCCTGTTACTAGGAAACATCGCATTGCAAATTGAATGCACAGTTAACGTGTTAACTGGTCTCCCTACTTCCAGATATGTTCTACCCTCAATCCATTCTCCACAGGGCAGAGTTTGTGATATTTAAAATTATACATCTCATCATGTTATTACATTGTGTAAAGCCCTTCCATGCCTCCTGATTACTCTTATAATGAAGTCCAAATTCTATAATGTGTCCTCTGAAGTCTTTGTGTGGTCTCATGCCTGCCTTTTTCTCTAGCCTTTTGATCATCCCATTTATTTTCTTCATTACAGTCATACTAGCCTTTGCTAGTTCCCTTTTTCCTAAATCAGGACCCCTGCAGATTTCTCCTCTTTTTACCCAGAATGTTGGCAAGCTTTTCTTCTTTCTTTCCTGTTCTCTTTGCACAGCACACACTATATTTTCCACATTCTAAACCTAAATGTCACTTCCTTATGGAAGCATTTTTCTCACCAGGTTCAAGTACAAATTATGCACTGTCAGGGTAGTCCTAGAAGGTTGGAGATTGGGCCCATTTTTTCACCAGTGTCCTAGTATCGAGCGCATTGCTTGGCACATGGATATACATGTAGGTTCTATGAGTGAATGTCTGACTTTCTACATATCTGGTCCTGGACAGATTGGGAAAAGGAAGTGAAACCCTTGCTGTGGTGGCAAACCCTGTTGTTCATTTGTCTATTTATACATAGTGGAGTATATGGTAGGTGTTAGGCAGTGAGAAAAAGTGAAAGGAAGGGGAAGGAGAAAGGAAGCATTAGAAGGGGAGAGGAGGAGAAAGGCAAGGAAAAGAAATTGGAAATAGGAATGGAAAGGAAATGAAAAAGTTATTATCTAGTGGGAAAAGTGATAGCAGTCTGTCTTTCACTTAAAATATTTTGGGGGGAGAGGAAATGAAGCATTAACATGCAGTAAAATATCAAGCCTCTTGCTGTGATAATTTTTTGGTGTTTTTATTTGTTTATTTTGGTGCGAGAGTAATACCAGATGGAGTTAGCTTCAGACATGCCCCCTTGAGTATGTGCTTTTTAATCATAATCTAAATTTTCAAAGTCTTACAAGACAAAGATACATTTTTGTATTTCCTTCTTGCTTAAATTGTGGATACTCGTCCTTCCCCCACAAAAGACTTGCCTTTGCATACCATTATATATGTTTAAAAATATTTTATGAACTATAAATATGGGCACCTACTTGTTACTAGTTAGATGTAGTTAACCATTTCTTACTTGTATTTCCTAAATTATAGAAAAATATGTCGTAACTGCAAGTGTGGCCAAGAAGAGCATGATGTCCTCTTGAGCAATGAAGAGGACCGCAAAGTGGGGAAACTTTTTGAAGACACCAAGTATACCACCCTGATTGCAAAGCTAAAGTCAGATGGAATTCCCATGTACAAACGCAATGTTATGATACTGACCAATCCGGTTGCTGCCAAGAAGAACGTCTCTATCAACACTGTTACCTATGAATGGGCTCCTCCTGTCCAGAACCAGGCATTGGTAAATAACGGAATAGCAGTCTCTTTATCCTGCACTGTTTATTTAGGACAACTCCTTTAGTGACAATCAACCTCATACACCTTACATCTGTTATTGGAGGTGTAGGGGTCCCATTACTTTGACTCTGGCTCCTATTACAGTCTTTTTAAAATTAAGACTAGAAAATACCTCACAGAATTTTTCTGACTCCCAGGATGTTTTATAGGGAATGATCTAACTTGCTTAATAATTATACGAAAATTGCATGTTTTATATCAACCTAGAAACTCTTCTAGTTTTCTCTTGAGAAGATTCTCGTAAATGGTATAGAATGAGGAATAGAATTTCTGCCATTGTTGGCTGAACAAAAAATGTTCAACATTTTGTGTTTTCACTGTATAAGGCAAAAAATTCAAGTTTGTGTTGAGCTCCTTCTACTGTTATGACAACCAGATAAAGCATTTAAAAGTCAGAAAGGTCAGGTCATTTAAATGAATCTTATGATATCATTTTTCATACAATGAAAGTGCTGCTGATCCATAGGCCTTTGTAACCATGTCTGCCTAAAAATTTACGTTGTCTTTCAATCTTATATTTGTTGGTTGAGAACAAGTAAATAGAAGTAATTAAAATATTTTTATAAACTGAAAAAAAAATTACTTTCATCCAGAACAATGTATTTTATTACCCACCTGCCTCTGTTTTGTATACCAGTTTCTAATGTATTAACATCTCAAGATATTTACAGTAGGAAAATGAATTGCTGCTAGTGGATAAAATCCACTTTTAAGTAACCTGCTTGTGATGTATGTTATAAAAGATTGCAATGCCTGATGGCCAGTACTTCTCCCAGTTAACACTGGTCTCTTCTCGTGCTGCAGGCCAGGCAGTACATGCAGATGTTGCCCAAGGAGAAGCAGCCAGTGGCAGGTTCGGAGGGGGCACAGTACCGGAAGAAGCAGCTGGCTAAGCAGCTCCCGGCACATGACCAGGACCCTTCTAAGTGCCATGAGTTGTCTCCCAAAGAGGTGAAGGAGATGGAGCAGTTTGTAAAGAAGTATAAGAGTGAAGCTCTGGGAGTTGGAGATGTCAAACTTCCCTGTGAGATGGACACTCAGGGGCCCAACAAAATGTACAGCCCTGGTGGGGACAGAAGCACCCCAGCAGCCGTGGGGTCTGTGGAGGACAAATCTGCTGAGCCCGAAAAGCCCCAATACGTGAGTAGACTGGTCCTATTGTTGGCCCAATTTGTATATTTCATGGGCTCTTTCGTTTCCTTAGAACTTTTTTGGGGTCATTCTTTAAGGAATAGGTGCAGGAAGGAAATTGAATGAAAATTCAGGTTAGAGAGTCATTATGTTTGAAACGAAGGTCTAAAGCCAAATTTTCTGATTATATATTGCCAGAGATAATTGTGAGTTTTCTGTATGCATAGTAGTTGGTATTGTCATCCTACTTTAATACAGCATTCTAACTAAAATCTATTTCCTACCATAATTTTCCTGTTAACTGCTTGTCTCTTCCTATAAACAAGAATAATATATACTTAGATTAATACAGTTTTGTGTGTGAGACTATGCCTAAAATTCAGACTTAAGTTTGTGTAGCTATATTGTCAAGCATCTGTTTTGTGTGTTTCTTCTAGAAAGAGAAGTTGAAGTCTCTAAAGGTAGTTAATCATGATACAAATGAACAAGGAAGGCCTAGGAACTAAACTCACTGTAATATATACTCATTGATCCAATGAGCACATCAACCATTAAGGTTTAGCACTGGAGAAGAGTTACTAATAAGCTCTAAAGTAATCATTTTTGAAAGAACTCATATAAAATTGAGGGGCAAATTGCTACCTCCATCAGAGACTTCACTTGAAGAAACAGTGCTGTTATATATAGGGTGAAAGAAGTAGGTTTGAACAGTCTCAAGAAAGCTAAGAGATTCCATTTTACAGAAGTATTAATAACATTATCTAGATGGACAAATGAGTGATCTCAGTGGAAATCTCTCATGAAATTGTTGCACATTTGTTGCTGTGAATTGCTGCTGATGCTGTCAGTGAGAATGCCGGTCTTCTGGTGACCAGATTGTTTCGGATGCTTCCCTTTCAGTCCTGCTATTGCTGCAAATTGATTATGAAAGAAGGGGACCCAGCCATCTATGCGGAAAGGGCTGGCTACAATAAATTGTGGCACCCAGCCTGCTTCGTCTGCAGCTCCTGTGGTGAACTCCTGGTTGACATGATTTATTTCTGGAAGAATGGGAAGCTATATTGTGGCAGGCATTACTGTGACAGTGAGAAACCCCGATGTGCTGGCTGTGATGAGGTTTGTTCTTGGGGGCCTCCCACACACACAGGCTCTACAGCCCCTTACCCAGAGGACAGCAGGAATTAAGCGAATATTAGTTGGTTTGTTTACATCCAAAGAAGGTTAATCAAAGAAACTGGCTTTCATTCATTCTAGATGTTGTGTTGACCAATGAGATACAAAAGATTGATTTGTACTAAATGATAACAAATTCAAGCTTTATGTTAATTTTCAGACTTTAAGTCCCAAGAAAGTATTTGACCTGCCTGTAGATCTCAATGCCTTGTTGTCTAAACACCCTAACTTTGTCATTTTAAGCACAGTGAAAAATGCCTGATTCATCTTATTTTTATTCTCTTCCTAGCTGATATTTAGCAATGAGTACACCCAGGCGGAAAACCAGAATTGGCACCTGAAACATTTTTGCTGCTTTGACTGTGACAACATCCTAGCTGGGGAAATATACGTGATGGTCAACGAGAAGCCTGTGTGCAAGTCCTGCTATGTGAAAAATCATGCTGTGGTGAGAGGCTCTGTAGAGATATGATCGCCTGCACTTGCTTTGTGATTTGAGCTTATGCTTCTCTTTAATACTCTTACAAGTGAGAAGCAGGAAGCAGTCCTCTTATGGAGAAAGCATTCAGTGCCAATCATAGGATTAAAATCCACGCAATTAAAAAACAGTACATGGATTGATTCCAAGCCACCTCAAGATGGCTCATTTTGCCTGTGTGTTTACAGAGTGGATTATAAGTGCTGCTTGATAGTAAAATTGTCACTTTAAAAAAAAGTCCTTAATGAGAATGAGATTTATTTATTTTCATGGGTACAAATCAGATTCTACTTAAGTGTTTTGAGGAATGATTCACATCTAGCTGTGTTTGAATATGTATAGTTTTTATTTGTGTTACTGGACCACCCACTAGGACTTTGTTTTTGCCACGTGGAGTTTGTACAGTGCCCATTTTTAAAATCCTGTCGAACAGATTTAGTATGACAAAATTTGGCCTGCACATTTAGATTTATTTGTGTGAACTTAACACTCAGTGAGTTAATGTGTGTAGTTTTTCTTGCATTTACTGTTCTTAGACAGAGCTGCTGGTGCATGATGGCCAATAGATAGGAAATATAGATAATGGGTAAAAAGCTGACCTTATATGGTAGGGCTCACAAGCCAGGAATATAAGAAGAATAAACTTTTACTGTTTGTGTGAACTATCAAGTAGATAAGACTCCTGGCTAAGGAAGAAAAGTATGTATTTATATAGAACTATGAGTATGGTGCTATGAAAATAAACAGCAAGTTTTGATGTTAGTGTCAGTTTTCAGCCTTAACCTATTGTCCCAGTCCTTCATTTTCTAACAACTCTACCTCATCAGAATAGTGCAGGTCCTCACAGTTATAACTGTCTTATTTTGGACCTTTGTCTTTTTGTCAGTTTAATTAAGTCAGTGATCTCAACTCCGCACCCCATCACTTCCGTTATTCATCTTGCTCAAAAGCCACCTTCCATGATGTTGGGAGATGATCTTCCTAATGCAAATGTGATCACTAAGCCTTTTTTTGATCTGGTCCCTTCTTGCCTTTCCAATCACTTGTATTATTTATCTAACCTAGGTTATACATTTCCATATATTACCTGCTTTTTGTTGTTTATACTTTTTTTTTTTTTTAATAGAAGGTCTTACTATGTAGCCCAAACTAGCCTCCAACTCATGGGGATCCTCCTGCCTCCGCCTCCCAAGTGCTAGGATTACAGGCATGTGCCACCACACCTGGCCTGTACATTGTTATTTGTCTTTTGCTCACCCTAACTCGTTTGTCTAATACCTCCTATTCCTTGTTTTACTTGACTGTTCCTACACATTCCTCCAGACTAAATTTTTCACTTTTTTCTGACCCCTTTTCCTGCTTCCCAACTCCCAAGCTCCAGTCCTTTGTCTCTGGCTAGGTCTCCGAGTTCTCAAAGGATGGTGTGTATATGTGAGATTAATATCATTCACCTGCCTCCTTCACTAGACTCTGTAAGCAGCTGGAGAGTAGAGTTTGTCCTTTTATTTCTACATCTTCAGTGTCTAATGTTGGGAAATGTTTGAGTACCTGACTTGTTTTCTCATATTTCTCATATACTTTAGGATCATTATAGACTTTCCTTTTACCAGAAAAAAAGAGATGTTAAGCCACTCTGTGGCTTATTTATCTAAAATCATCTTCTGTAAATATTGTTGTAACTCTTTATGGAAGAAAGATATAATTTGTATTTTTTTGTATGATATTGTTTAGCTTCCATTACTGTGACAAAATAACTGACATAAATCAGCATAGAACAGTGGTGGCAAACTCTGCAATGACATCACAAATTGTAGGAGTCATTTTTCCTGAATGAAAGCCTCAGTATTCAGGTTTAATTGTAGTGTTGGCACTTTGCGACAAATAAGTGGGTTTTGGGTTGCAGTTTGGGCACTCGGTCTCTAAAAGGTTCGCCATCACTGACATAGAGAAAAGATTTATTGTTATTCATAGTTGCAGATGTTTCAGTCTTTGGTCAGCTCTCTTAGCAGGCCTGTGGTGAAGCAGAAACATGGTGGCAGATTGGCATTGCGGAGGAAAGCTGCTCACCTCATAGCATTGAGAAAGCAAAGAGAAAGGGAATGAACCTAAGAGAAAGGGCTGGAGACCATATGTAAACCCCAGAGATCCACATCCTTCAACTAGGTCCCATCTCCTGATTAATAAATTAATCCACTAATCCACTGATGTTGTTAGAGGCTTTATGATCTAATTACTTCCCCAAAGCCCATCAGGTGGCATTTGGGGGACATATTAGATCCAAACCATAATATTTCACCCCTGATCCCCAAAGTCCAGAGGTCCATCTTATAACACAAAATGCACTCAGTCCGTCTCCAGAAGTCACCAAAGTCTTAGCAGTTCCAGCATTGTTCAGAACTCCAAATCCAACATCTCTAAAACTCAAGGCAAACTCTTGTGAGCCCCCTTAAAAGTGAAAAACAGTGATATACTTCTAACATATAATGATACAAGGTAAACTTTCCCCCTCTAAAAGGGAGGAATAAGGGCATAAATAGAAGAAATGGACCAAACAAGACCTAGAACCATCAGGTAAACATTAGATCCCATAGCTCAGGTCCAGCATATAGGGCATATGGCGCCATGATTTGAGCTCCAAAAGGCTGTCCCTGCCGCCTTGCCACTTGCAGCCTACATGGCCTGACTCTTGGGCTGGCTCAACTCACTACCTTCATTTTTCCTTGGCTCACATTCCATATTCCTGGCATCTCCAAGTTGCTTGGCTGTCCATTATAGTTTTTGTTTCACTCACACAACTACATGCCCTTTCAAGGGCTACTCACAAGGATTCTGACCCTCACAGTCTCAGAGCCTCCCAGGCTTTCCTTTGAAATCAGTGGAAGCCTCCGTGACCCTGTAACTCGTGCATGCTGCTTGCCTACAAAACCAGTGTCATGTAACATGCCACAGTCTCTGCCAGTGCCAGCAGTAGCCAGGCCTCTTTAGGCCACAGTTGCAGTGGCCTCTGACTGCTTGGAGAGCTGAGCATAGTGAAATGAATCCTGGGAAAACAACTTCCTAGGTGGCCTTGTGCAGCAAGGTCCCCAGGGATACTCTCTTCTGGAAGCAGTATCTTTCCAAGGAGTTGGCACATTTATACCCAGAAGCCTGTGATCTACAGTGTCTGACCAAGGCATCTTTCTGTTGTCCCAGTACCAAGTACTTTTGCTTATTTTTAATGGCACTGATCTCTTCAGCAACTTTAGTGCTTTTCTGATCAAGCAGCTTGTTTTTCATCTTTCCACACTGCTTTTTGTTCCCAGTTCTCACTGTAAACTTGGCTAAATGCAGCCAGCAATACTCATGCCACTACCTGAATCTTGTGGTGCCTTGAGATTTCCCCTAACAGAATAAGTAGTCTGTCACTTTAAAATTCAGCCTCCCATAATGTTTCAGGGCATGGACAAAATAGACAATTTCTTTGCTAGACAGTATCTTGAAGGACCACTAGTCTAATTCTCAATAAGAGCTTCATTCCCATTTGAAATCTCATGAGCAGAGTCTTTACTGTTTGCATTTCTATAAGCATTCTGATTTTCTGAGCTCCCTCCAGAATTACTTATTAAGCTCTACTTACAACATTCTGGAGCTTTTCTAGCCTCCTCCTCCTCCAAACCTTTCCAAATTCCTCCCACAAATGAGTGTCAAAGATTTCTGAAGTTCTCAGGTTCTGTGGTCACAGATAGTGAGAGAAACAGTTACAGAGGTCAGGTAGAGTCACAACAGCCCCACTACTTGGCACCAGTTTTCTGTGTCAACTTCTGTTGCTTTCATAAAATACCTGACATAGGGCAACTGGGAGGAGGGAAAGTTTATTTTCATTCATAGTTTCACAGATGTCAGTCTTTGGATGTACAGCTTTTAGGCGTGAAGCAAGGCAGAAGCATGGTGCATGAGAGACAGAAGAGCCTGAGAGGCAGGGCCCGAGACCAGATAGTCTCCAAGGTCACCTCCCTATGACCTGCTTTCTTAAGGTTCCACATTCCGTGTGCAGCACCCCCCGAAGGCCATCAGATTATTATTGTCAGCTAGGGGATCCACAATCCAGTCACTCCCACAAAGCCCATCAGCTGGCCTACGGGGAACAGCCAAACCCTAACAGATGGCCAGCCTTGTTCTCATGGACTAGAATGTAAACCCATGAAACCAGGGATTTTCTCTGCCTTTTTCTGCTGTATTACCACCATTAGAACAACATAGTAGGTGATCAGTAAGTATTTATTGAATAAAAGATGAAACTGCTTTATTCAGCTATTACAAGCTCCTCTCTATTACGCTGTATCTAATCACCAGAAGGAAATAACCACAGATAGAATTTTTTTAAATGAAAGAATTCTCAAATTAAATTTTATATGCAGCATCATTTATTTTAGAAGGTTCACTTTCTCAGATAATACCATTGACCTTTGTCTAATGTTAAAGTGAGCATGTCTGCCCATCTTCCACATGATGGCAAAGACTCCTGCACTTGTATCATACTACATGATGTGAAATTTTGAAGATTATCTAGTTCAGAACATTGATCTGCTTAGATCCTTTAATCTTAAAAAAGACAGAAAATATAAATTATTTTTAGGTATGAACACAAGTGCTCAACTTCAAACAGGGCATTTCTGAGATAAAAATTAACTGGACAGAGGAAAATGGGACATCTACCTAGTTACTCTGCACAATCACTGGAATTCCAAGGCTGCCCCAAGATGCACATGGATGAGATTTCACAGGGCCATCCTACCAGAGAGGCCACTAGTGATGTCACACTCTGTGATAAAGGAAGAGAGACTGAAGGAAATAACTGCTCAAGTATGAAAAGTTTAAGAACAGGAAATCTAGTGCTGAGCAGAAAGGGTTCTGCAGTACCCAGGCCCTTTTGCATCTTGCCAGCTTTGATATATTTTCTTCTCTGTGAATTGAAAATAATAGTATATTGTTAATAATAATAGAAAGGTCCACAAATAGTATTATAAGAATGAGAAAAAGGAAAGTAGATTATGGTCTGAAAGCAAGGGAATAAAGCAGTAGGTATGAAATGCTTCTATTTCATTCAAACAAGTTTTTGTTGTTGTTGTTGTTTTGGTACCGGGGATCAAACTCGGGTCCTTGCGCTTGCGCAGCAGGGGGTGAAACCACTGAGCTAAATCCCCGGCCCCAAACAAGTTTTAAAAGTTTAATATGAAAAGTAGAAAATTAAAACATTAGAAACATTGTAAACTATAAAAAATAAATGCAAAAGCAGTTGCTTATACGACACAGCTACACATTAGGAGTGTGCTTATAATTATATCAATTTTTATTATATTCAGGGATCGTTTTTCAGTCATCTAAAAATAGTATCGCCATTGTTTCCCATGGAAGGCTGGATTATATAACTTAGATTACAGAGCAATACTGTAATTTCTGTAATTAGAAGCAATGTAGCTCTAAAAATATTGAAAGTATATTGTAAATCTGCAATGGACATGTGTAACAAGGCCTCACTTCCCAGCCTGAGCCAGTTTACCTATTGAGTAAGAAACCAAGGTTGCTTAAGATTAGCCAATGTCTTCTTATACTGAATAATCTTGATTTCTTCACTTGTTATAAAATAGTTTTAAAAAAGATTAGATTTTCATATTCAGTACTTATATAAAACAAGAAGGCATATAGGACTACTCAGTGTTTTGGATATCTCAATGTTTTAGTTTTCTATTTTCTGCTAAATATAGAAGAATATTTTTTTATACGCATGTTCAATTAAGAAAATGGTATGTATATGTGTATGTATATATGTGTGTGTATCATGTGAATGGCAGGTAATGTAAGTATTAATGTTGTACAGTGTTAGATAATACATAAATTACTGATCTTATGACAGAACAGAAGCCAATTAACTGCAAGCTACATTTTTAGTGCAAATTTATTATTCTCAAACACTGTCAGTATTTTTAATCGAGTCCTTAATTACTTTGAACATGATTTTAATTTACTACTGCCTAGAAATTAGTGGTGTTAATAATCTCATGTGTCATAGCTAAGACAAATTACCAGTTCAAAGCTTTAATGAGTGAGGAAAAATCACCTAATAAATTTCGTTATAATTACTAATATGCTAGTTAGTAGAATATGCTGAAAGCAAATGTACTACTTTACAATTTGCTGTCAAGACTTTCTTTAATTACCTGTTTGGTCTTTATCTGCTATTTCTCACAGTGCTTGGCATATAGACCCCCATTAACAATTGTTGGCTAAAAAGATGGGGGGTCTCTTAATGTGTGTGTTTTTAAGGTTGTCCTTCTGTTTTAATTTACCACCTGAAGCAGCTTGTTCAGTTTCTCTTAAGGTAAAAATGTTAATGTGACTGTTTGATCTCTCGCCCTTTTCTCTTACTTGTATTATTCCTGAGCAGGTGTGTCAAGGATGCCACAATGCCATCGATCCAGAAGTGCAGCGGGTGACCTACAACAACTTCAGCTGGCACGCGTCCACGGAGTGCTTTCTGTGCTCCTGCTGCAGCAAGTGTCTCATCGGGCAGAAGTTCATGCCCGTAGAAGGGATGGTTTTCTGTTCGGTGGAGTGTAAGAAGATGATGTCTTAGGAGAGAACACCAAGTAGTTTTGAGCCACGCTTATCCAAAGTGGTCTGCATTTCTACTGTAAAATGCAATTTGAAGAAACTAAAAAGCAAGAATATTATAAAGGCAACCAGAAGATTGTTTTCCTTAAATTTTTCTGTCTTAATGTCAAACACTTTCATTAAACATTTGATTTTAAAAATGGTAATGACCTCTAGCTTTCCTTGGCTTTCTAAATGAGAAGTCTTTGAATTGGAAGCTTGAGTTTAATTAATCTTCATATCCCTATACCCCTGGTGCCAAACACAGTATATATAAAATAAAAGTTAGAGTCTTGGATGGAAAGATGAACATTTCTAATTTTAATGTTCTTTTTCTTTCATGTGTAAAACTAAATTTGCTCTAATGCCATGCTTTACATTTATTGCCTCATCTTGTTCAATGAGCTTTGTAATGACGATGCACAGAAAATTCTTTTTAACAGAGAACATAGAATTATAATGCAGTATGTAGAGGTGTTTTAATGCCTGTGCATTAGCTATTTCCTCATTTAGGCAATGGTGGCATTTTCTTTATTGCATTTCTCTGTATTTTACTTATCCTACCTCTCAGTCTCATTGAAAGCTGGTAATCTCCATCTGTGGCCTTGAGTATTTTATGATCACATGTGGCATAATAATGTTCATACTTTTTTATAGACTTGTTTAGATATAACCAAACTCATTTATATTGTTTTTAATCCAGAGAATATGTATAGTTTTTATACCCACAAAACTATAACATGTACTTATCACACTTGCCTGCCATGCTTTGAATGAAATTTTTTGCATGATTCTTATCTAATGTATTGTCTTATGATACTTCTAAGCCCATTCATAGATATATAAAATGTCTTTGGTAGTATACTTCCATCCATGGGAATTTCTAATGTTTATTTTTCCCTATATATTTTCACACATAGCTATGTACTATGAAAATTAAATGGAATAAATGATATGTATATTATTATTCAAAATACTGTGTACATTCTTGAGTAAAAATACCTTCTGCAGTAAAGCATCTGTTACAGCAGGGGGCAGTGTCTCCTAGGACAAAAAGTACTCAGGAAAAATTAAGGCTGCTTCTGACAGGACAGAACAGAAACAATTTTTCATTATAGAGAGGAGTTGTTTTATGACACAGTAGAGAAGAATTAAGTTACTTTCAGGTCGTGCAGGAATTTTTCCTTTATTTTTTGTTTGTTTTGGGTGTTTTTGTTTTTGTTTTGGTACGGAGATCGAACTCGGGACCTTGCACTTGCGAGGCAGGCGCCAGAACCACTGAGCTAAATCCCCAGCCATAGAAATTTTTCTTTTAGAGAAAAGAATATATCATTTTAATTGAAGTTTGCAAAGTCCTTACCTTCTCCTTAGGTGAATCTAACCAGTATTACTCTTCTACTCAGTTTGCAACTCTGTGTTTTAGTTTTGTAAAATTTTTTTCATGGTGATCTATTGTGAGAAAAGAAGCAAATGAGGAATAGTAGTAGATTCTCATCTTAATAGTGTGGATATTTGCTTGGTTTATTGGGATTTTTTTAATGTGTTTTCTCTCCTGCCTAAAGTATTTTTATCTTAGTGGTTGTTGTAGTTTTCTCTGATAGAAAACCAGGAAAAGTTAGGTTTTTGTGTGTGTTTTCTAGCTCATATTTTCAGGTAGTGCCTCTCTTTATACCCCCAGTATGTACACATGCACATGAGTACAAATACATTTATTCCTTCTGCACTGTGCCTTCCCCAGCCACAAAAAAATTTGTCTTTTGGAACTTGAACATGTGCCATCATATCAAAAGAAGTAACTTATTCTGTACAGAATTTTAAATGCTGATATTATATAAATATCAATGATTGTATATGAATATCACTACCTTTGCTTTCTTTTTCCTTTATCTTAAATGGTAAAAGATATATTTTGCTCAGCGTTTTGAGTAGCCTACCTTTCCCACAATATGGAGAGATTCTCAAGGTCTTTGGCCCTTCTTATTATTTGTCAGGTTTTAAAAAATGGACTTTCAAATATTTTGTCTTACATGAGTAAAGTAGTTACTAAATTCTATAAGATTTATTTTTCTTCTAGCATTTAGGATATGCCTCCCTCATCACTATCATTTTATATTCTTCACTGTCCTCATTTCTAAATAATGGTTTACTTTTGCAGAGGCCAGGGGAAAATATAGGGAAATAAAGGTTTTTGTCTGGGTTTGTGCATTCTTTTCTTCAAAGGAAGATAAATCATTCTAATTATTTTCCATAAATCAGTTAATGAAAATTTGCTCATCAAGATCCCATATGAGTTCTCTTTCAAAAGCCAAGCTTACACTGTCACTAGGCTGGGTCTGGGAGTCCCTGAAGCTGAAATCAGGAACTTAACCTTTTTGTAGAATAAGCTTGGGGCTTTGATGACTTGTCACAGAAACAATTTTCAGGATGTGTCAGGAAGAGGCAAGAGAAGATTAGAGATACAGGACTCTGGGAGGGAGAAAATCCCAGCGCATGCAGCCATCCGTAGACCCATAGAGCAAGAAGAGATGCCTTTTTTCATTTCTGCATAGAAGCCACCATCTCGGGTATTAGAAAGTATAAGAATGACTTATTTTCCTGTCCCTTGAATGGCAGTGATAACCTGTGAGCAGAAATGTTGGATAAGGAAAGACAAGGGAGATACTTCTTTCCTCAGACCCAGGGAGTTCAAAAGATTTTGACACACCAGTTGCTGAAGTTTACTGAGTTAATACATTATTCTCCTTATTGGAAGACTCAGACCACTTTAGAATGATTAGTCATGCACTCCATAAAATTTGCACGTACTTGTTCATCTCTAACCTGAATAATTTTGCTCCTAACCCTTGGATACAGTTATAATTTTGAGAAATCAGTGGATTCTTGTTACTCAATCTACTAAGAAATCTATCTTGAGAGTTACTGGCCTTTGTGTTTCTTGTATGGTGTCTCTCTCTCTCTCTCTCTCTCTCT